ATATATATATATATACAGGTCAGTCATTTGGTTTTCTTGAGGTGGATTAACCTGGAGCTGATCAGTACAGGAGAATGACAGGCCTCTCCTACTTGATGGGTTAATCACGATTCTTCCTTAACGTCAGTTCCGCACCGCACATTCAGGGTCCACACTCGTGAGAGGGGTCCCTTTCAAAGACGAACAATATACTGTAATTCACAGTAGTGGAAGAGTAGGTCCAGAGTGACCTCTTATCATCACAAAACGGGAAGGGCTATGGAACTTCGTGCGTAAAGGTGGGCCGTAATGCGACCCAGAGGCCCATACCTATCAGTAAGCATTCTACATGACCGTCAGCGAAACAGCGCGTGCGTAACGGAGAATTTGTCTCTATCGACAAGTGAGAATTTCAGCAGCAACGGGATTACGCGATCACCCGTATTTCTGACATTTCCGATTCTAGTTAGCTTGTAGTCGAAAGAGTAATAAAACAGACCCACAAATCATTCGAAGCAATTGTCCTGCACAAGGGAAGAGATAAGAGATAGGCGTGACAAAACTGCAGGAAAGCATCTTACTACCACTGTCGGAAAATGTAAAATTGTGATCCGATCATCTCACCTGAAAACCTCCAGACAATGCTTTGAGACACTGAAGGAGGGTATTGGTGTAATTCTGTTTCGAGTTTTTCAATACTCGTTTACAGGGCAATCACCCACAGAATTCAGCAACCTCATACACGCGGAGTGGGAGTGTCCCGGAGGCTTTCGATGTGGTCGAGACCCACAAAATAAACCGAAGCAAAGGAAAAGAAAAAACATGAGGGTCAAGGGTCTGCAGTGTCACCGTTCCAACCACGGATGTGGTAGAGCTTGGCATTGAATTAGCGAAGACAGCATCGAGGTTTCGGTTGCGAGTATTCATGAGCAGTTGACGGATGAGTTACGGAAATCGCAGGCCAGGAGCTTGAACTGGCGAGCAACCCAAAGCACCTATAGGTTCAGAACCGAACTATCATCGACCGCAGAGATAACTGGAATTCGGCTATGTGAATCTCAAATCTGCGTTCCAAAGAAACGTACGGACTGTTTGAGCTTAAGTTGGCCTAGGAACGACCCATTTTAACAAAGTGACACGGACGCGACTAATTCGACTGTATGACTCGTTTACCCTTTACATTTGCATATCTGAATTTATCCAACTGTGTACGCGACCCCTGACTTGTGATACATTAGTCGAGAGGATCAATCACAGAAAACAAACCTTACTTATCACCTTCCACGCCATAAAATGTTTATTCGTTGTCCTATAATACCGAAGAGTTATTCAAACTAGCAAAGAGCATCTTATACTGTTTCTACAGGAGGAATTGATTTCGGGTATCACGCCAGTAATAAAGCCAAGAAGGTTCCACATTTAACTTGACATGAAGCAATGCCGAGGTGATTTCGAAATGACGGGATTTTTGTCCAATATAAGGCCACGTGAAACCAGTGCTCTTTTCCTTGTTCTTAATATGATTCCTCTCCTCCGAAATAGACACCGTAGAAGTCGATTCTCATCATATCTATGTAAGATTTTACATCTTCATCTATCCCCCCTCCCAAACAGCAATCGTACTTACCAGCCCCAGCAACTACGCGATTCAAGGGTTCGATGACAGTCTTGAAAAATGCGAGAATGGGACGCACTGATGGCTTCCGAACTGCGCCAAACAGCCAAATTCAAACCCAGAATCTTATTGTTCCTACCTCAATAAGTATGCGCTTACGCTGCGAACAACATCGTGGTCACCAACATCACTACCATCATCATACTCAGCATTGGTAACACGCGTAAGTGACACACAATCAGGAGGAAAGACCATTATAAAGAAGAATGGGAAAAATGAAGACCTATTGTGAAATACTGGGTTCAGGTGCACCGAAGTAAATATACCTTAGTATTATGTCGGAGCAGGACGCCATCGGTGGGCTTGATCGACCACTCCATGCAGGCCTTCTCAAACACACGCCCGGTGCATGACAGGTAGGCTAATAGATAACATGTTCGTCAGAGGATGGTCACTTACATTACCTGTTTGACTGTAACCGCTACTGTTTCGTGTTGACATGTCATGGCCTCTTCTCTGCGAAATATAAGCCAGCTAGAGCTTACGATGGAAAACAGTTTCTTTGGCGGTCCGTGGCTGGGAATGCGTAGTGTTTTTCTCAAGCACCTTAGCCTGAACATCACTTGCTGTTCTGGCGCTTTCGCTTCGTTACTGACTCCTCGTTTACGTATGATTTCGTTGCCAGCACGCTTCAGTCAACTAGCTCCTGTTATGATGTGACAGTGCCGGAAATCAAATATTTTGGAAGACAGGATACAGATCGATACAAATTCCAGGTGCGCCTTTTTTCTGATACTGTACTGCCAAATTTTACTTGAAACTGTCCCCAGAGAGGTGAATAAAGCTCGTGCTGCAAGTATCGGCACTGAGCTCGTGAAACTAGGTGAAAATCATTCAGCTGTAGCACCATTCCGGTGCCTAGCTGGCACACCAACGGAGGAGGTAAAAGGGCTGGAATACTGCCAGCTTGCCCAAGCCTGGACAGGAGCAGTCGAGATGCTGACGTCTGGTTCGAAACACGGACCTTCCAGTTCGTAAGCTGGTGCCTTAACCACGGAGCTATCTCGACGCCCAAGACGGAAGCCGATTATCACAAGACAGTTAACTTGTGGATTTGTGTGAGGTTTTCCCGCTAATCGATACCAATTTCAGGTTACATCAAATTGCTTCTTGCTTAAAGTTCGATTATCCAAGGGATTCTGCAACATTGGTAAGACAAGGCTAACGTTCACGACTGTGAACTGGGAGTGTCATTTCGAACTATCGATTGCTACGCCTTTTTGAGCGGAAGATCCACTGATTTTTGCAATACTGATAGGAGTCTGTGTATATGAACGGCTTGGTAGACTGGGGTGGGGTCCTGTAACTTTGTTGCGGCCGTTTTTTGGGTTTACCGCGGTTGCCTATTTTTCCCTAGATCTCAGGAACGGAACTTCGGCGCAGTATGTTTTTTGAAACCTAGAACACAGATCTTGTAAAATTTGCGCAGTAGTAGGTCACCTAGATCATACGTTCGAAAAGCAGTGACGAAATGGAATTTGCGCAACCTACTGAGGTTTAACCATACAGCATAAAACGGACAAAAGTATGGAGCTCTTCAGAACGCTATTTTAGCTCAGTGGTCTTTTCCACCACAAATCAGACGAATGAAGGCGTACAGAATATCGGAGTTTGTCCAGCGAGCGGTAGATTGCCAGTAGCTAGGCAAACCTCACACTGAGAAGATCTATTGAAAAACTGTTGTCTGTCAAGATGACTTACTTATCATTTTTGGCGAGATTCAACCGCAACTGTGTGTCTGGAAATTCAGTGTCACTTTCAATCATTTCCACTTTTTCTGCTGGCACATCTTCCGCATTAGTTTTCGGGGCCGAAGTGAAGTCATCGGAAGGGTCCACTCGGGTTACTCGTCTCTCACCACGGTGATGTTCCACTGACTCCTCATCCAACTGAAGAGAGAAATTTAAAGAAAAACAGATAACGAGTGAAATAGAACAAACGGTTGCTCACAGCACAAAAAGTTTCATTGCCATTTAGGTTTCTTGAGCGCATGACGAAAGTATTGTGATGTCTTTAACCACAGATTAGTCCAGTATCCAACAAGGACAATGAAAAATGAAACCACGTGATTCTGTGCCATCTCGTTCAGACTTGACTGCGAACACTGTTGTAATGAACTAACTGTGTGCCATCCATATCCGGAAGATTCCAGTAATGCAGCCGTATCATCGAAATAAAACTTATTCTGCTTCAAAGGACTTCAGGCTTATCAGTGGTTGTAATGACTTCTACCTAAATTAATGACACACTACGAACTGGGTGTGACAGTAAGCGCACAAGAGTCGCAACTACACAGCCTTTTGGGCGGAAGACGGGGACGCTGCACAGCCACGCACTTACTTTGAACAACACGCCAAAGCCGTACATAAAATGACAAGGAAGGAGATAGTTCTTCCGTCCGCGGATCATGAAAGCCCCGGTGGTCAGATATTCTCCACTTGGCGCGGTCTTGGATACCTGGTCCTGGCGAACCCACCAAGCACTGGTGACTACACGGGCATTCCAAGCGGAGCTGAGTACGATTGCCAGTGTGCCAGCCTCGATCAAAGTCTTCGGTGGTGGTAATGGAAGCCGAGAAGTAGAGGAGACTTAAAAGGCGACGAGGAATGGGAGGAATGAAACAGAGTTAAGAAACACAACAATATGACTCAAAGTGATTGTACAGAAAGCCCATCAGGCGCGCTGGAGTGCTGAGCAAAATATTCACTCACTACACTGGTGAATGATCGGAATGATGTTTGAATTCACTCAACAGAGGGTTGAGAATGGATGGATTTGATGAACTGTTGTTCCTCGACAAACGTGACGTCCACAGACAAGGGCAGCTAATCCTACGAAATGGGGACCTCACTCCTCGGTAAAGTGGACTTTACAAAGCAATCCCACCCCTGAAAGTCACCATGAGGAAAGAATCTTTTTGATCTCTCCAAGAAGTGGACTCTTCGGAGAGTAATGTCTCCGATATAACATCAGGGTACTACGTTGTTCAAACCGGAATGCTTTGACCGAGCTCACTCCTTGGTGGTGCAACAATACCATCATCAGAATAAAGGGTATTGTATCAAAGCTAATGTCATCTGATGGAACGGACAGCTTTCGCTGACTACTCGTGGGTATTCCTTGCTTATACCACATTTCCAGAATCTCCATTCACTCTCTAATCTATCTGACCACAGGTGAACAGTACAGTTAACCGGATAAGGGGATCAACCAGTATCGAAAATCCACAAAACACTGTATTAATTGCCCAGACCCCATTGTCCCAAACTGAGAGTACTCTGATGTTTGCATCTCCCATGAAATAAAACGATTTCTAAGTCACATTTCTACATCGCATTTTGCAGTACTGGATTTACTCACTTCCAGGAACAGTATTCTACGTAGACCTATACCATACGACGGCAAAATCTACCTGGAAGTTAAGGGTCATTTGTGTCCAATCTCCGTCAGTATTCAACACATTAGTCGTTAAAACCAGTAGCCGGTACGTGGTTCTATGACAAGCAACCAACACACCATGGATGACACCAACGTTGTGTAAGGAAGGAGAAACACAAGCTCGATATTTTCGATCGCAATATGAGGGGAAGCTCGATAGTTATAAAGTGGTAATGATAATATCTTTTTCATTTTGAACTCAAGATCACTATTAAGCCAGCTTAACTAGAACAAACAGGTTTCCAACCGTTTGGCTTATACCCCATAACTCGCAACGTTCGAAATAACAGTGGGGCTCTTAACATATCGGATTTCTCTTCTCTTTTTGTGTGAACAGGCTGATTGCCAGAGGGAAAACCACTCTTCGGTGGTCAAACTCCTGGGCACTATGATGTGGAGGACGTTCTAGAGACAAGAAGTTCTAGGAATCTGATGAAGGAATTATCGGGGAAGGACCTCTGTTTGAGAATTTCTCCTGCGACTGTACTGAGAAACTGAGACACACTGTACAGCCATTTAACCTTTATTGGGAATCATTCACAGTACGTAGTTCACAAATCCACCGACAGAAATGAACCCAACGGGCAGCACTGGAACACTATCACTCAGATAGACCGACAACAGCGCGGCTAACTTTTACCCAGATGTTTCAAAGACAAAAGGTAATATAGTAGTAGAATACGAAGGGACTAACCTGAATCTGACGACGACTCTTCAGTCGTTAAAGGTCTGGCCTTCACAATAACACTACTTGCTCCGTGTATATCTGCGTGGACGTAGATATCATCAGCTCCCAGATGACGTTTGACAAGGACCTCATTTTGCTGTGAATCTCGTCCGGCAACAACCAGGTAATTCTCAGAGCTGATGAACCAGAAGAATTTCTCAAACCTGGGTAAAAAAGTCGACGATTTGGGTAATCGATAAGATAATTGTGAGTAAAACCCAACAACACTGCCGTGAAACCACTGAAATTTTAATTGTAGGTGGTTGTGGGATCTGTGGGATCCACATTCAAGCCGCTGTCGTTCGACCAGTCCTGTTCTCGTTTTGGCACAATAGTCACGTAAGGGGTTGGGATCGAAAGCAAGTGTTTGGTGCTATTAAGGTTTCTCTTGAAAATTACCGGACTTTGAAGTGCAATTGCTCGTTTTCCCCTTGTGAATGATAACTCTGGTTTCGCTCAGACGTTGGTCCCTGCTCTTAACAGAGGGTCACGGAAGGAGTTCACTACTCTCAGTGATGGTGTGAAAACGAGATATGTAATAATGTTTACGCGTATGGTCGGTGGAAACAGTTCCTCACCAGAGACATCACACCCCAATCAGGAGTATTTGGGGTGACCTCGATAAGTGGCAGGCAGTAGAGCGTTCGGTAATTTTCACATGTCAGCCTATCGAAGGACTGGACTTAAATGTTGCTGCCAACGGAGGCAGTTAACCGCCTCGAAAAACGGTTGATAATTATGCGCTAGATCGATTTGTCCTACCGGAAACCTACTGACCAAGGTGTAAGCCTTTTGTATGCGAGGTGTGGGAGAGAGAATATAGGCTACCATTTACCCACACAAGAATGGATAGGCCCAGATATCGTTGACTTACCACATAGGTTTTCGTATTTTCGTAATTTGTGCAACTGTTCTCAAATCCTTGCGGGTCTGTTGCGCCTTAAACGCAGCCGATTTCAGGGCCTGGAGAAAAAAGTACAGGTCATTAGCTTCCGAGCATCAGGATGGGTGACGAACCTAGGAGTCAGTCGAAGGTAACTATGGAGACTCAAAACTGAGTTGCGCAATCGCAAAGTTCACAGCCCATCCATCGAGCCACGTAAGCTAAAAATCCCCCACGCAAGAACGATATCTAAGGCTGTGAGAAATACCTGGACGTACTTTTTACCAATAACTCGAAGTTGCATACAGTCAGAAATTACGTCGGTTTCGTCATCAACATAAACTGCTGAACTTACAGTTCATTTGATCAAAGGTCTCAACTTCCTTGCGTGAAGACTGGTGATATTATTACTGAAGATGAGTTCTCAAGAAGAAATTTGACGAAGACGCCCGATTATAAAATCGGTTGCGGTTGGAGTGTTCGCATAGGAAATACTAGTGTTAGCGGATACAGTGGACGAGCATCATGGGACCCGCAAGTACTTCGTTTCTTGTCTGGCAGCCAGGCACCGAAGGGGTGTTGTAGCTGGGCGGTTATTTAGATACTTCGTTGAAGCGAGCAGCACGTTCAGGAACGGACATTTTCTTCCGCATGTTACCATTTTCGTTATAAAGCCGTTCGTTAGAATAGCACATTGTTACGGGGGCAAAGTTGCAGTATCTATGAGTTCTGAGCATGAGGACTTCCCCATGAGTGAGGTCACATTATCTGTTGCTACTACCTAGGTTGTTTTAGATGGACCAGCTTAGCACTAACAGTTTGTTGAATCGTGACAACGAACATAGTTCACAACTACGGAGAATCGTATTCACATGATCGAATGGAACATTTCTAGTTTTCCTCCGAACCTCGTCGAGACTGGAGTAGGAGTTGGACGTCAAAATATCCACGTTTATAGCCAGTTCTGCGGCAGAATTATCAATAACACGCTGATTGCACTCAAAATTGTTCGCTTTATACGGACAGTTGGAAAACTAATCTTGGCGGAAGTACTGAGACAGTTGTCAACGTTAACTGTTACGGCAGCCTCATTTTCAAAGCGACAAAATTTGGGCTCGTTGAATATATAGTGATGAGGTGAATGAAGCAGGCCCAAGTGCCAGTACACAAAAAAACTGGTAAGTGGTAAGAATCCTATTTTTCCGTTCACTTTCTCCTCGATGGTCGACCGTGATTCACCCGGCGGATGGTTAGTATTCCGAGAAGGATATCAATGTGTTCAGAATAAGCCTATGAGAGTTAGCGAATATACACTCATCTGCAAACTTCACCCGGCGTTAGTATTCCGAGAAGGATATCAATGTGTTCAGAATAAGCCTATGAGAGTTAGCGAATATACACTCATCTGCAAACTAAACTAATTCTTTCGAGAGACTCACCTGGAACCCAGCTGAATCTCTCGTTTATGATGTTCTCAGGCAACTGAATGTGCTGCACTAAGCCGCCTCATGTTTCCGTCGCTACGATATTCGAGATATCGCGATACATGTATATCTTCGTAATGTACTACTCATAAGGTTGCTGAAAATCTGACGACAGCCCACAGCACACTCAGTTGCCTGAGGACATCATAAACGAGAGGTTCAGCTGGGTTCCAGGCGAGTCTGTCGAAAAACCAAATTAGTTTGAAAATGAGTGTAATCCGCGAACTTGAACAGAAATTTGATCGAGTGTGATTACCGCAGTTAAAGTGTGAGAAAGCTTGTCTCAGGTTGTGGGGACCACTCTTAGCTGATGAATTTCAAACAAAGCGAAATTGGCAGTGGGTTTGAAAGTCGAACTTTCTTTGATGGTTTAGCACTTCAGAGCGAATGTGTAGTCACCGGAAACATTGCATTTCGGTGCTCAGTTTGTGAGCCAACCGAACTGACCGAACTGACCTTGAATTCGGCTGACGGATTCTAACCTGATTGGATGCACATCTGATGACTAGTCATCGAGAGCATGGGTAAGAATAACAATCAATACAGAGATCTCGTGAGAACAAAGCCGAATTTATTTGCAAACTAATTTGGTTGTGCGAGAGACTCACCTGGAACCCAGCTGAATCTCTCGTTAAGTCCGTTGCTGGTCAAAAGGCACCTGCTGTGCGCAGACACATCAGGAATGAGACAGCAATGCCCTATTCCCTGCGCTCTCGGGTTAGGCCAACCCCATGCAGCCGAGCAGATCAGACTGTCGAGTCGTTGGCTCCGGGCAGGGTCCCAAAGAAAACCCCACATTTTCTCGCTGCCTTGTGGGTTAGACTTTTGAGTCGAAGGCTCAAGGTGGGGTACCTCAACCAAACCCCCCTCCTCGGCCTGGGCAACCGGGAAGTGTCATTTGCCCGCGCAGTTCAGCGTCCACCGATGTCCCTCGCCAACCCCTTCCCAGTGCACCAGCAAACGCCGCTGGGACATTTGACTGTCAGTCGTCTGACCAAAGGGCCGGTTATTCCTCGCCGCCTACAAACATTAAATAAAATAACACCCTCCTAAACCCACGAGATCATTTTTATATAGGACCTTTTAACATACGTACTATATGTCGAATCGGCAAACAGGCAATGCTTGCTGAGACCTTACACTCCCTTAAAATTGATGTATTCTGTGTCTCTTCCACATTTCTCCCTCCGTGTGTCCAGTGACCCAGAAGCGATGACTCGTGAAATATATGGCGTGGGAGTTGCACTCAGCCCCAGAGCCGAACGTGCTTGCTTTGCTGGATCGGATCCCAGTGAACAGTCGTCTCTGCACCATCCGGTTGTCCAGTTTAATCAAGCTCAATGCCTCTCGGCGTAAAAAAGGTGCCTTTTGTAGTGTCGGCTTATGCCCCAACGGACTGCAGTTCTAATTCGGAGAAGGATACTTTCTATCGAGAGCTATCGGGGTCATTCGCCAGGCAAAATGCACTGATATTGTGATCCTTGCAGGCGATCTGAATGCTCACGTAGGTCGTCTGAGCACCTTGGAATCACATTTGGGTGGTCGATTCGAAGTCGATGCTCGCCGTACAGACAACGGAGATCGACTCCTTCAGTTGTGTGCTGATCACGAACCGTTTCTGGCAAGTACGAACTTTCAAAATAAACGTTCGCATCGCGTGATTCGGTGGCCACCTACTGCAAACCAACCGTGGACACAGTTGGACCATATGGCCATCAGCCACCGGTAGATAGCCACAATTCAAGACTGCCGTTCCTTCTGGGGCACACCACATCATTCCGATCACGCCATGGTGCGTGCACCCCCGACAGTTCATTTCTCTTAAGGGCCTCACAAATTAGCAACAGTATGACAAACCTCTATCTTGCAAGAACGACCATAGCTCAGCAGTACCGATCTGAGCTTGCCCAACAACTCTTCACAGTAAACCAATACTGTGGTGGCAGTGAACATGTGGATGAAACGTGGCAAAACGTGGAAGGGGCTGTTAGCGGCGTTCAGTGCTGTCTGTCAGACCTCTCTGATTCGACCATAAGACAACTGGATGTCCGCGAGGCCGCTATCCAAGATTGATACCAGGAGGCAATGAGTACGACGGCGCATTCAAATCCCTCAAACGCCAAATAGTAGAGTCCAGTCAAAGACCGAGAGCTACGGTGGACATCGAAAGCTCGAGAGATGGAGAAGACCTTTGCAACGGGAAACAGCCGTGCCTTATATCAGCTGATGCGATCGACTGGCCCTAGGAAAGCAACGGTCAGAAAAACGACAAGTGGAAAAGATGGCTAATTAATTCACCCGAAAAAAGTTGACCGGAAGGATGGGCCGAAAACTATGAAGAACAATTCAGATGGCCTCCTGCAACACAGTCTATGGAGGTAGTACATACGGGCGAACAGAACGTAAACCTTGATCGCCCTTCGGAGGTAGAAATGAGGTACGAAATAGCCCTACTAGAACGTGAGAAGGCACCAGCACCGGACGGTCTGTATCCAGTCCTCTCTAAAGAAGGGGGAAAATTCCCGGTGACCCATCTGACAAAGCCTATTGGTACCATATAGGACGAAGAGAAGGTACCTGCAGAATGGAACATGTCGACGGTTATCCCCATCTTCAAAAAGGGCACGCGGACGCTGTGTGAAAACCATCGTGCCATCAGCCTGTTAGCTGTGGCATCGAAGGTGCTCTCTGGCGTAATCTTTCGAAGGTTGCCTGAACACAGGGAAAGACACATCCGTGAAAACCAAGCTTGGTTCCGTCCTGCAAGAGGTTGCATCGACCATATCTTCACCCTCCGACAGATATCGGAACAGCAACGCTGTTTTCAGCAACCAAAAATGGTTGCGTTTCTCGATCTGAAAGTTGCCTTTGGTTCTGTGGGTCGTCAGGCACTGTGGCAGTGTCTGTGGAGCAAATGTCTCCCCCATAAATTCTCGACCCTCCTTAAGACTTTGTACGCCCACTCACGCGGCCCCGTAAAGGCCTACGGGAAGCTCTCACCTGAGTTCACCATAAGAAGTGGTGTCAGACTCGGCTGTCCTCTTTCACCATTCCTCTTCAACTTCGTCACTGATACGGTCATGGGAGACTCACTACCAGCCTCTAATGCCCGTGGGGTCAAAGTGCTCCCGGGGCATCTGCTCACAGATATCGAGTACGCAGACGACATAGCTCTTCTTGTATCTGACGCCGTGGAAATGCAAACAATGTTAAATAATCTAAATAATTCCACCTCACGGTTTGCCATGCACTTCACACCTGAAGTGTAAAGTGGTACTACAAGACTAGGTGGGCTTGAACCCTAGTCTCATGCTTGCGGATGAACCGATTGAGGTAGTAGACAAATTTGTTTACCTAGGCAGCTGTATCAGTCCCGGTGGTCTCGCGAAAGATGATATTCCCATCCGATCGGGAAGGCCAGAGCAGCTTTTGTGAACCTGGGTCATCTGTAGCGTAGACGTGACGTCAGCTTGTCCGTCAAGGATCGCGTTTGCAATACTGCGGTGCACTTCATATTACTATACGGTCAGAAACCTGGCCGTTATGAACTGACGAAGTCAGAAGACTTTCAGTGTTTTACCATCGATTTCTTCGCAAGATTGCCCGAATCTGGTGGGAACACCGGATCAACAATGCTGAAGTACGTCGAATGGTATTCGGGGGAAATAACTCACTCTCGATAGATGAACTGATCACACTGCATAGGTTGCGCTGGCTTGGCCACGTGCTCCGTATGCCAGTCGACCAAATTCCTCGAAGGGCTCTTTTCGCACAACCACGTGGAGGGTATAAGAGACCCGGAGGCGGTCAAACAATAACATGGAAGCGATGTATAAAAGCCATTGCCAGCAAACTCAGCTGCGATGGTCATTGCCGTCTTTCTGGATGGGGACCGATGGTGACCGGGCCACATCAATGGTTAGAGGCATTGTCAGACATGGCCCAGTCGCGCCCTTAACGGCGCTCGTGCATCCAAGCTATTGGCCTCAATATACAACTCCCTTCCCAAGTCCTCCGGCTTAACAGTCCACTGAATTAGTACAGTTGACAATGATGATTATGCACACTCTTTTTGGGTTAGGCCCTGTGTTTTGGTCAACGAAATCTTATAATGTGGCATTCTGATTTATTTTTGGTCCTCATGGCTATCCCGAAGAAATTCTCAATGTCATATACACTCTTTGCAACCCAGCAAATCTGATCTTTCCATCCTTAGCGAGTGCATGAATAAATGGGGCCGATGTGAAAAATAGTTTAGTGCAGACAGAAGAAAAACTTCACTAGTGCTAACAAGGATGAAACAACACTTGGAATCAACAAACCTTGCGTGAGGCGACCAGGGTCTTTTCTTCCTTTTTCATTGCTGCCCGTTTACGGTCGTAATACCTGGCAAGAACAAAACCCAGTTAGGAAATAACAGACAGAGGTGATGAAAACATAGAAACCGATCTACGGGGGATGGTCAGAGGTCTCACTTGCGCGCGTTGTTCAGTGCATTCAAATCCAAACTGATCACAACTTCAGTGGAGGTCTGGTTGCGTTCACAGTTTTCGCCGTCTGAATCACCTTCATACGGGTCTCTGGACACGATCAATACAGAAAGAGACAAAACCGTACTTTAGGCTAACAGTTATCTGATTTTGTTGTAAATTGAGTTGTACAATATGACTGGCAAGGAGATCGCCGCGTGCTCGTGCTTCTTGGATCATAGTGTCCAAAGTTCCCCAGTCCAATTGATTCGAAAGTGCATGGTTAATCATCAGGATGATGCTATCGACCTACAACAAAAAGAAGTGTACGGTAGGGTTTAATTGTGCATCACATTTGCGAAGAACTCAACATCCTAAAATACAGCGAAATGTTTGTTGAAACTTTTCGGGGCAGCATTGAAAAAATATCGAACTAGATATCGTAAAGCAAACTGCGAAGGGTACGTTATTGATCTTGCGACAAGCTAATAATGAATACCAGACACTGGAGGCCTCAATACTGAATATGGCTGTTTTGAGGCCATTTGTTCTATCAAGCTTTGACTCGTCAAAATAATACCAGAGGATGGAGACAGAATAGAAGCCAACGTAGAACGTAACCGGTTGAGCATAACTGCTCGAAAGACGTGGAGGTGCCGATCAATAGGTTACGAGTACCACGTCCGAGCTGATAAACACGCTGCAGAGATAAAGGAAAACTGCAAGAAACGCGTCCACATTACGTGACTGAAAGTAGGACGATGGTAAATTTGCGAGTAATGCGAGCCCTTCGGACGTATACGGATGGATCTTACAAAACATCTAGACACGGGTCCCGTCCACAACGCATACGTTTGTTGCGAACAGTACAGCCATTTATGCACACATTTTAGGTCTCGAGTGATCGTCAGATCCATTACGAGGCTTCATTTTGAAGTGTCAGTTTGTGTCAGTTCAATCCGGACATAAACCCGACAAACTTGGTTGAACAGTTTTGCCGCAGCCAGTTTGGGAATTCCCCATGCTTTTTTAACTCAGGAGCCGGTTAATCTGTTGAAGCTTTTGCTATCCACATCGCGTGGGGAGCTTGTAGTATCGCAAGCTGACAATCATACGAGTTCACCTTCAAAACAGGATTTCATGGGTTATATAGAGATCTCCTGGGAGATGAATTCAGAAGTTCAACCTCTGATTTCATAAGTGATAACATGATAGTCTACGTAACTGCACTAAATACTGTAATGATACCCTGGTTATAACTCCTTGAATAGCTACCCAAACGTTGATTTGGTCTATTGTTTAATCAAAAACAATTGTGATAAAAAGCACCAACGAATCACCGTCCAAAAACGAACGACCTTGGCCGATTACTGTAAGTCACTCGAGCGGAAAATAGTGCTTGTGAGAACTGGTGGAGGAATAGTTCGGAGGACTGCGTCCACATGTTCAGGTAGTGCTCAAGAAGGTTCGCACAAGACGTCATACAGTCACTCGACCGGACCAGTTTATCCAAACATGCCGATCCCGATGGTTTGGGCATACTTTTTGTTCAGTGCCAAAAATTAAGTAGGTGTAGTGTTTAGTCAGTTTCAATAAACTCCACTGTTGCACGAATGTAGCTCTAGTTTGTCCACGGCCTAAGCCCCTGAAATAGACGTTGGACAACGCTGCCTCACGCAAAAGATAGCACAATTGCGGTGGAAAGTACAATAAACCTAATTGGACTTAAAACGTATCTTACCAGCTGTCGATTCGTTTCCAATAGCTGCGCTTTGCGAACATCCTGTTCCTAAAAAAGCGGAAAATAGACATTAGAAACGAACATGGAACAGAAACTGCCTACCAAGTAACCATTGGCTGAAACGGAGAAGCGGTACCCATCCCCGCCCAACCAAAATTCACAACCCAATAAGAAAGTGATGAGCTTTCCGGCGTGACCGGATTACAACAGTTTGAATTTTGAGAGTATGTCCTTTTGCCTTATAATGATGATGACCTGACAATAAACAGTAAGCCTTGCCAAAGGCAGCTCACGTTGTCGTCGGTGAGATGCCAGGCTACATGGGAGGGCTATGTGGTTCTTCGTTCAAGCAACAACGAGAAGGTGGGAAGGACTGAAGAATATCTGTCGACCAACGCATTTCAACGTTACACTGCTGAACACTTTCTGTCTGGGTCTTAACAATGGCTATCCATAGCTTTAGTGTCATATATTCAAAGAAGACCTGAGACGCAGTTGAGTCAAATTCTTGTCGAAAGAACATAATGAGTTTTTGCAGGTATATTTGTTTTTACGGCCGTTCGTGCCAAAAACGGGTGATCAACGATTCCTGAAAAACAAAACTACACGTGACATACTCGAATAAGGGGTGGAAACAGAACTAAGGAGCAAAAATTCACTTACCTGGTCTGCTTTGAGCGCTGCCAAACGAAGTTCGTGGTCTTTCTTGATATTTTCAAACTTCTTGTTGGCCTTATTTTCCTGTGACACGGAAGAAACATGTTGTTGGGTAGGATAAGATGTAATATAATTAACCGTAGGCGACAATATGGACAGCACAGTGCACGCAGTGCCATGACATTAGATTATGGGATAAGCAAATGAAATGTTATGCGTGAACAAAACTCACATTCTGCACCAATAATTCGGTCGTTTTGTCACGTTCAATTTTCGAGAAATAAGTGTCCACAGCCTAAAACAGAAACATAACAGTTGATTGGTAAATGAGCCGGCCAGATAACTACAAACAAGCAAGCGGTGTACGGTTATCTGTCAGTGCACTGAGTCACGTAGGCGTGAGGCTCTTTCTGCTGCTATCTATTAAACGACGTAATTTAGACAGGTGATCATATTAGAGTGATAGACAACACGCAGAATGATTTCGAATAAGCCCGAAATTTGAACGTGGAAGTCAGAGGATCGAATTCTTTTACCTAATAGTCTCCATCAGGAACAAATGCCTGGTGAGTTGCTTTTCCCGGATCGACAACTTCTACCTTATGATTATTACCTGCAAAACTCCAAGTCCAGATTCTGACGATTATCTGCTGACGATCGGAAGTCCCATGAACGATTATCTGACTAATCACGAGCATTCAGGTTCCTAACCAGCTTGACAAATGAACTAATCAAAATGATTCAACTGAACCATGAGAACCATGAGCATGGTTGAGATTGGCGGCCATATGGTGCTAAATCTGAACATCGGGTGAGCGACTGTGTCAAAGTCACTCAGTGAATCCAAGCCGCAACGAAATGGGAAGGAGATTGCTTCATCAAAACTGACACATCTACGTGAGGAATGAAGGTTCATTGAAGAATCACTTTTCTATTGCATGCACATTACAGAACGATGTGGAACAGTGCGATCGAAGTGCAAGCAGACTCATCTTGGAAAGATAAGTGAGTTAATAAATAATCATTCAATATGCAAAGATCGGCGACCCTGGCAACTTATCATAGAGAGTCTCAATGGCAAAAAGAAGTTAAACTGATATGGGTCAATTAAACGAATGTCGGCTGTGAGGATTAATCAGGCTTTCTTGAGATATCCATTGCAACTCACCTTGCTGAAAGTTGGAAACGCCACGTGGGGTTTGTTACGAAACTGCTCAAAAAGGAAGGGTTGAAAATCTTCTTGACTGTGAAAACAAAAGTGGTGGTGGAAATGGCAATTAACGAATTGAAGAAAGTGTCTGGATTAGTGGACTCATCCTGATTAGTGACGAATTTATTTGTTTACTTTGTCTTTAGCAGTAAGCCTTTGGCTAGCAGGGGTTCACGGAAACGTTAGATGACACAGCCCGTATGAACCTTATCAATTTAAAGGGCATGACTTGTTCAAACCAGCTGCTGACTTAGGTCACTAGACGACTGATGGTGATAGTAAAATTGGATCCTAACCAGTCTCCATGACAATCAGTTGGGACTGCTGACCACCGTTTGACTGTTCATGAGTAATGAAACGGTCTGACTTAGTTAACACCCCATCGAAACAGATCATACTGGTCGGTGATCCGGTGGTTTGGAGCCGCTCGCTGGAAGGGGGAACGTGAGCGGTCGCACCTACACACACCTGATGAGTCCCAATAACGGTGAAATGCCTTTCGCAATGAACATCTACCCAGAAAACGGTATCAAGAAGTAAAAGAACAAACACGAAACACAGGTTGGAAGATCATTTTTCCCCGGGTAGAAAGACGCAGCGTTACAATGGGCTGGCAAGAGATCAGTCGACAGGCAGCTCTTACTTGAGTGCATCTGCTATGTATGCTTACCGTGATAATTCTTCGTCCTCCGGCTGCAGCTTTTTGCCAAAGATGAATCCGCGGGACATTCCCATCTCAACATCATCAGTCCTAACAAGATAGGCAGCTGATAACAGGTTTCGTAAAGCCCCCGCAAAGTGCATCGCATAGTCCTCTTTGATCTGTCTTATCCGATCTTCCTCGTCAACGTGAGCATTCTCCGTAGCGGAGGGCTTCAAAGTCGATTGCACTGCCAGGTGGGCTAACCGACAGCAATGTTCCACGCAAGGTTGCCCATAGCCTGAATGGAACAACACACACAAAGTCTCATTCTAAATACTTCAATCTGTAACAACAGCCATACAAGAAATAATTGTAGGAAATTTAATCATAATGGTTGTCCCATTCTTTTGAATATAGTTAACAACCGTGAAACCACTGTCCAAAATAAATCAGACTTCCTGTGGTGATGCACACTGCAGAATATCATAAACGAGAGATTCAGTAGAGTCTCTCGTGAAAACCAATTTGATTTGCAAATGAGTTTATTTCTCGAAGGACAAGAGCTTATTTGTAAGGGGCGCCAATAACATCGGAACATTATGACTAAGAACACATACAAGACCTGTAACGTTGAGTAGCGCATAAAAAGGGTAATGTAAGTCGTTCAGCTGTAGCAACCTTTCGGCGCCTAACTGCAAGGCCTCCATCACAAGAGCTTGGATACTGCCCGGTTGCCCAAGCCTAGACAGGGGAAGTCTAGAGAGAGAGGTCGGGTTCGAAGCATGGACCTTCCGATCAGCACATCCGCATTTTTAAAACTAAGTCATCTAGAGGATAATGAAATTCGTAAGATGATCTTGATACTGTATTCACTTAAGTGAGAACCTAAGCGGGAAGCACTGAGAATGAGCCTGAAATCATAGTGGTTTTATTTAGAGTGGACTCCAGCATGAGGAGATCACAATTTGGCTACAAGATAGTCTCATCTAAGCATCTTACAACAGCCCTTGGTAGTTTACCAGGGGAACTTGAAGTAATCACGTAGAGGCAGTCAGAGCTAAACAAACCAATGACTAACAAAAGAAATCAGCGAATGTTATGCTGTTCGTGATAAAAGAATTACCAGAAAATGACTAAATTTGAAGTGACAAAACACAGTAAGACTAACTCTATCATTACAGATTTTTCATCATAAGTGCCCATACAATTTGCATCTACTGTGCTTCACGAAGACAAGCTAGGTATTCATGTTAATTTTTGTACGGATGGAGCATTTGTCGAATTAGAAATACCTTAGTTATCTTTCCAGGTCATATTAACTTTGACAATATCAGAACAACCATATTTCTTGACCCAAGGGCCGCGGGAAACGGCAAAGTGCATTTGAAACACACCTATGTTGAGTCAATCATCCCAGTACACCAGGCCGTCCGTCCAACCGCACTTTCGTGTGTTTTATCTAACAGTGACTTTGTGGTGGCGCGGTACGGAAGATAGGATAAAAGTTACCTAAGGGGTTCCTGGTACGGTCGGGTTTCCTTCGAGAGAGCAACCTATACCCATATGCATTCCAGTTTTGAGCGGATAACGTAAAATGCAAAAAAGACTTCACAGACCTACCAAATTCAGAAGATAGAACTTTCTGCACTGGTTTCAATGCTTCGTTGGATCCACGCGGGCACCACGGGCCTTTCGCCTCATGGAGCAAACGTAACACTCGTTTACAGATCCCATCGATGTTGATATCATTAGGAAATCCCTGCAAACATTCTGGCACCGTTCGTACCAGATCCAGTGGGTACTTCTCATGCGCAGCATATCGAACATCCTGACTGGCATCCGTGCGGGGCCGCAACAAATGCAGTATGGTGTACGCATGATCGGTAAGACACATATTGCCCTGAGAACGAAGAAAACAGAGTATATGCCATCTGTCACTTTTACGAACAAAGCTGATGGACACGAGGGAATGAATTATCGGACAGCGTTAAACGGACACCTCTCAGGTGAATGAATGAAAAGAGTGCATTGAAAAGGTAGAATGACGCCGGCAAACACTAGCAGCATATTTTGACTGTACACCAAACCTCCAAAAATCCACATTCGTTGGCTGAAACCTCTACATAAAGTGGCTGCTGCTGATAATTAAAAATCGTTAGTGCTCTGCAAGTGAAAAGTGGAAGAAACTAAGACGTAACCAAGAACTTCTGAGGCACTCAGCGAAGTAGTAAGTTCCAGTAAAACGACAATGCTATTTAATATCGCTCAGATAGCCTAGTGACGGCTTTCGTTCTCTAAGTGTTTCTCAGCAGACTTTACAATCCCTATTGGGCGATTGATTATGATCGGCGCAGCAGTTTATGGATGAAGATATGGCGCGGAGAGATCGAATCACCTCAGAAACAAACATGCCTATGCTTCTGGAAATGAACGATACACCGTGGGATGCTGTTTACTGATCACTGTTGGAAGAGGGCGGAGTACTCGCAGATGTATACGGTGACTCTTGGTGAATACCTCCGAATCCCACAGACCGTATTTAAGTGGCCTTGAATAAGACTGAGCTCTCTTACATAAGAGTATTTTGGGAAGCAAGTAGTTAATTGGATGCATCGGTTCGAATACCGGAGTATATCGCTTGGACTGACGAATTAGAACGAGTGACGGGGACCTGAAAGGTAAACACTGTGGAATAAGCCGACACAGATGAGACCGTTCAGGGTGATGAGGTTCGTCTGAACCTCGGAATATTAGCTAAAACCCGTGGTATCTTAATGGTCGTGTTAAGTGCTGATGAAAAAAATACGCAATACACCATCTACTAGAAAACAGCCGGAGTAAAACACTGTCTGACGCGGACATTCTTAAACGAAAGTGAAGCGCAGAAAGCCAGCATTTAAATTCGACATCTCTTCGGGTTAGAAAGCCAGCTATGCAGCAGTATTACACCGACAAACAAACAAAAGCTGACAAAAAAGGAAGGAGGAAAATCTCTGAAGTCGCATGAGAATTAACTGATAGCTTTCGACTTAAAAGGCGAGTTTCACCATCGGAATTACTTCTGAGAGTCTGGAAATCCTGTAGTAAACAATTTCCTTAGAAGCACCTGTTGTTATAGTGAAAGGTGATAACGTTACATCAACGAAAATACGAAAACTAGGCAAACGAGCACCAGCAGGGGCTCCAATTGGGACCTTTTGCGAACCAAAGTAATGATGAAACACTAGCTTGTGAGCGGCAGAAAATGGGTGGAAACTACACTAAGATCCACGACTCGCAGGTCACATCATGTAAACCAAAAAGTGACGGCATTGTCGGGTTCTATTCAGGAAATTTGGTATGCGATGAAATTTCGTCGTACCAAATGCCATCTGGCTACATGGCGCAGTTGAACAAGGTTAGCTTTCCAATAAGTCGAGCATGGCAAGCGCAATAAGTCAAGCAAACATGTTCCTGGGAAAGAGATACCACAACTTACCCTGTCATATAGTTCTACGATTAGATGAAACAGGTGTTCGTCGAAACCAAATTGAAAATCTACGATCCTATCCATTCCCAATTGTTTCACGTTGCTCAGTTTTTTGTTCCTTATATGCTTCCGCAGCTATATCAGCACAAGGGGTAGATGGTAGCCTAGGAGGGTCATATCAATTTACTTTCATCGAAAATCCAGAAGGCATAACGTTCTTGCTCCAATCAAATTCCGTGAGATGAATTCTTGATCCAGATTCAAGCAAAACTACAAACTTTTCATCGTTCCTGTTGAGGCATTTAAAATGAATGAATAACCACATGGGCTTACCCCGCCAATTTGATAAGGTAGGTCTTGTTGTTCAAATCATAAACATTGTTAACCCTGGACCCAACCACACTGGAGTTGTGATACTAAGTCGATAAAATGCTGTACCACTTACTACTTTTGAAGTTCAGCAACAGAAGCAATAACATCCAAAGTAGTGAAAACGAATTTCATCACGATAAGGCAAACGAGATTAGCTTTGACACAATGCTTCAGGGGAGCTGAAACAGTGAACACTTAGGAGTGAAGATATTACTTCTTTAGAACTTCGAAACGAGGCAAACTAGTTGTTCTAATGTGGTTTGTAAAAACCATGGAGAATACGTACACATAAAGTGTTTGCTTTGGCAACAGATTTACCGGGATCCACTCTACTCCACTGTAGCGCACCTGTCTCGCATCAAAGGATGCAGCAACCTAGCGAGATACGACATGCTCAAGCCACAAAGGTTTGCACAAAAAAGAATACTTCCTAAATAATTCCAGAGCTGATTCCCTGAATCTGCGAGACAACATTATCCAGTCGTACTCAGACAGGAAGAATCCAAACAAAGTATTGACGCAGTCCATACATGGGAGCTTGTCAAGAAAATTTACATGCCAAACCCCGTCAAATGTTTTCAATATGCCGAAAGTAACTACAGTCGTCTCACCAAGAGTCCAGAGAGGAACATCAGACTATGACACGTAAACTAGCAAGGTGTAAAGGTGGAGCCTGAATCCATATTGGTGGCCGAGGTCGCGCAGTTGTTCGAACAAAACTGCTTCAATGACTCCGGAGAATGAAGGGAGCGGGATGGGCCGGTGGTCTTGAGAGTAGAGCACAAAGGAGACGAACAGATGAGTTTTTCCACGCTCTGGGAAAACACTAGTGGACAATGATGGACAAAAGAACTACGAAACGATTGGATCGAGTTGGGGGGGCGCACACAAAGGAGACAGATGAGTTTTTCCACGCTCTGGGAAAACACTAGTGGACAATGATGGACAAAAGAACTACGAAACGATTGGATCGAGTTGGTTGGGCGCAGTTACGGAACAATAGAGAAGGGTGCCATCTGAATCAGGCGTATCAGAAGTGGCGAGTTCTGACAGGAAACGGCGAACAATCCACACGGTTGGGCGAACATCTCCCTCTGCTCACGGTAATTAAGAAGTGTGTGAAGTATGAAGGGATGAAGGAGAACAAAAGGTGTGACCAAAAGCTACGATTGGACCCCAGAAGGATCAATTGCCGGTTGGTGTTTTCAAAAACTGACCTGCCGTTCGTGTAATGCAGTTATCTCCAGTTCTGTATATCACTGACGAGAGATTACTGCGCGCAGCGACGTAGTCAGAGCGTGTTGAGGGGCAAAGAATGTAGCGCTCAAGTTCGTACAGGGTGGTTTTT